ATTGATTGATTGATTGATTGATTGATTGGCAATGGGGGGGTCGCCTCCCCCCCGCGAACACACACACACACACACACAAACGCGCGACCTTTTTTGTTTTTTTGTTTTTTTTATTATTGATTGATTGATTGATTGATTGATTGGCAATGGGGGGGTCGTTACCCCACCTTGAACACACACACGCACACACACACACACACGCATGCGGTGCAACTGCCCGTTTTTTTTTTGCTACGAGTTTCTTTTTTTTTTTCTTTTTTTTTCTTGTCTTTTTTGTTTTTGACTTTTTAAAAATCCTTTCAAAGGTCAAAAGAAAAATAAAAAAATGTGGGGTTTTTTATTTTTTTTTCGGGTTTTTTTTGGCCCCCAAATCACCGTCGTACGACCGTCGTCCGTACGCGCGTATGGCCGTTCGTACGTCCGTACGCACGCGCCATACGGAGACCCCCCGTACGACGTACGGAGGACGACACTACTGATGAGTTACGGGGGATCTCCTTAAATGCCTCGTGATCAGCAGCAGGTCTTGTAGTGACAGCCTTAGAGTAGGTCTAGGCTAGAGATCCTAGTTGACAGGATCCTGTCCGGATTCTGTAAGTCCTTACATTGAGTCAGTAGGTGAGTCAGTCAGGGGGAGTAAGTGGTGAGGAGTGGAACCATTGTTTGGTTGTGCACCTTTCACCATGGTTGACACCCGTACTGGGAAGAGTACTGCCCCCTCTGAGGCCGAGCAGGCCTGGATCGCCGCCCTTTTGAGAGAGAAGAAAGAGGAGCTCCTGAAGCAGGCGAAGGCAAAGGCTATTGAGGAGGAGCAGGCGACAAAGAAGAAAAGATTGGAGGAGATGCTGAGATTTCAAAAGGTGAAGATAATGTTGCTAGAGAGAGAGAGGAGGAGGAAAGAAGAAGGGTTGCAGAGGACAGAGGAGGAGGAAGAAGAAGAAGAACCCCTTGAGAGAGGGCGCAGGGAGCAGAGAGGGGAAGCAAGTGGCGTGGAGGAGGAGGACAGATGGAGGGAGAAGAACATTAGTGAATGGGTGGCTAACTTATCTTTGGGAGAAGATGAAGAGGCGGAGTTATATGTGCCACAGGAGGAGAGGGAGGCGTTTGCCAGGGCCCTGGAGCTGATAGAGGATCCCTTGGAACGCCAGGCAACAGAGGATGAGAAAAAGCTGGAGTGGAAGTTGAAGATGATGAGAGAAGAAGAGGAGGGAGGAAGCCAATAGAATAGCCGGGGAGGTTGAGCGAGTGCAAACCGGCAGGCAGGAGTTGCAGGCCCAAACAGAGGTCTCTGCCAAGCTAGACAAGATGATGGGCTTCCAGGAAGTCTTGAGTGAGGCCTGGTTGGAGGAGCACCAGACCCGTACGGGTCAAGAGGTGACCCTGCAAGCCATGTGATCCGGGTTCAGAGAATTTGCAAGCGATGTGGTGGGCCACGTCGGGGCCGAAATTAGAAGATTGAGGGATGGCGTAGACAAGTTCTACGCTGCCGCCATTGAGACCGCCAAAGTTGTGGCCACAACAGAGGCCACGACGCGTCCCCGCAAAGAGCCAGTCAAGTTAAAATTCCTTGACCCATATAGCGGGAAGAAAGAGGAAAATTTCGATAGCTGGGAGGCCAGTATAAACACATGTCTTTTTACAGCACATAGCCCCCGAGGAACAAGTCCTCGTTGCCTTCCACGCCTTAAAAGACGAAGCAGCAAGCTTCGCCAGGTCCCTCGCACGTGCCGCATATTGCGAGCACAACATGATCGCATATTCGAGGCTTACCCCCCTTGCTACTTTCCTCAAAATCATGCGCGGGAGGTTTGCTGACGTCACTAGAGGCGTCAGGGCCTCCGACAAGCTCCAAACCATCCATTCACGATAGTGGAGGAGTGCGAGAGCACTCAAGGCTGTCATGGAGGATTTGGTAGCCGTCCCGGACCACGGGGTCACAGAGACCCAGTTGGTTCAGTTGTTTTATCGTGCCATGCCGAGGGCACTTCTTTGACAAGACCCAGCAGCCCAACATCACATACGATGCAATTTGAGGCCAAGTCAATGCCAGTTTCCACCCTCTGGCACAAAGACTTAGACAAGGGAAAGAAGTGGAAAGGGTGTACCATCTCTGGTCAGGTTAGGGCCAAGGATCATATGATCCTTATGTTGGAAGAAGGTGGTACTGACGAGGTCCCTTGCAATCAGATTGAGTGGGGCCTCAAGGAGGAGGACAATAACATAGGACAAGGGAGGTCCTATGCAGCTGTCACGGCTGGAGGGAGGCCGCAAAGTACAGGAGGAGGCCAGGGCCAAAGGGGCCAGGCCACGGGAGGCCGAGGATCGGGCGCCCAAGGGGTTGGCGGCCAAAGGAACCGCCAAGAGGGAGGTAGGGGTCAAGGTCCCCCGCCAAAAATCGTCAAGGTCCCAGTCGTTCCCCGCAGAGACGAGGTGGAGGATCACCTCAAAGGAGAGGAGGTTGGCACCCAGGCTGGCCGCAAGGCCGGCCCTGGGAAGATCTGAGCCTTGATCAAAAAGTCTGGCAGCAACGTATGGAGCAGGGGCAGTGCATCTATTGTGGTGACCCGGCCCATATAGTAAAATCTTGTCCAAAGTATAGACAGGCCCGTTGGGCTGCCCAGGAGTCAAAAGGCAGCCGCCGGTAGGGGTTGCAACGGCCCCTATTATTAGGCCATGTGAAGAAGCGAGCGCTTGCATACAGGAAACTCCCACATCACCCGAGCCTTCAACAGAGGTTGCAGGCCCGTGCCTAGTAAGCTATTCAAAGACTGCTTGTGTTAGCGTCTCTCTAGGCACGTCCCTCCCAAGCGTGGTAGAGGAATTGAAGGAGAGGATGCCCGCCTGGGCCAAGATGAAGAAAATAGTAAAGGGCAGCTAGTGCTAGTGGATGTAGAAGTTTTCAGGAGTAGAGTAGGGCCCCTCATAGATTCAAGGGCTACCCGTAGCTTTATTAGCCGTAGAGCGCTGAAGAAGTTGAGGCTAGGATTGAAAGTCCATAAGTTGGAAGACCCCATAGTTAGTGTCCTCGTAGACAACCGCACGATGCGAGTTGAGGACTACGTAGAGGGAGTCTAAGACGTATTTCTGCCTAGAGAAAGATGGGAAGGTGGAGAAAGTTCTCCATTCCCTGACTCTCCTCGTACAGGATGACCTTCCCTTCAATATAGTCCTAGGTATGGACTGGGGAGAGGCAATAGGGGCCACACTCCACTTGAGAGAGCATGAGTGTAGGCTCCCTAGTCCGTCTGGCGAGGTTAAGACAGCCCGGCTGTTCCATGTGTCTGGAGTAGATAACTCCTTGGCACATTGTTGTCTCAGTGCTCCCGCGTTTGCGCGACTAGTGAGAAAGGAGCGCTCCCGCGTTTGCGCGACTAGTGAGAAAGGAGCAGTTAGAGGATCAGGTCTTCGTAGTGTATGTTAGACCTGTCACTGAGCCTAATCAAAAGGATAGTTCCACGGATCCAGCCATTGCCAAGCTGCTGTAGGAGTTTAAAGATCTCACAAAGCCGCCGGTACCGCCGGTAGGAGTAGTGCCGCGGCCAATCCAGCACAGGATAGAGATCGAGCCTGGCAGTAAAACTCCTAAGGGACCAGTCTACAGGATGTCCCTTAGAGAGTTAGAGGAGCTGCGCAACGAGTTGGACGAGCTCCTTGAGAAGGGTTGGATTAGGCCCAGTTCGTCTCCTTTTGGAGCACCAGTTTTATTTGTCCCCAAGAAGGAAGGAGAGTTGCGCATGTGTGTAGACTATAGGGGTCTGAATGCGATTACCATTAAGAATGTTGAACCACTGCCCAGGATAGACGATCTCTTAGATGAGGTGCAGGGTTGCAAGTATTTCTCAAAGATGGATTTGAAGTCCAGGTATCATCAGATAGAGGTCCATCCTGATGACCGGTACAAGACTGCGTTCAATGATGGATTTGAAGTCTGGGTATCATCAGATAGAGGTCCATCCTGATGACAGATCGGGTGCAGGGTTGCAACTAGATATGGGCATTATGAGTTCATAGTGATGCCGTTTGGACTGACCAATGCGCCAGCTACGTTTCAGCGTTGTATGAATGATTTGTTTAGGCCTTGGTTGGATAGGTTCGTCGTAGTTTACTTAGACGACATCCTAGTATTCAGTAGGACCCTCTAGGAACATCAGGGTCATTTGAGGCAGGTCTTGGAGAAGCTCAGAGAGGTTAACTTCAATATCAACGCGAAGAAGTGCGAGTGGGCCAAGACACAAGTTCTGTACTTGGGCCACGTGTTAGACGGAGATGGCATTAAGCCTGAGGACAGTAAAATAGCGACGATTAGAGACTGGCGGACGCCCCGCACATTGACAGAGTTGCGGTCGTTCCTAGGCCTAGCTAACTATTACAGGAAGTTCGTGAGGAACTTCTCGACTATTGCCGCTCCCCTTCACAGGTTGCTCAAGAAAGAGGCAATCTGGCAGTGGGATAAAGACTGTACGTCCGCGCTAAAGAAATTAAAGCGCGCATTGATAGAGTACCCTGTATTAAAGTAGCAGATCCGTCTTTGCCATTTGTCGTCACCACGGACGCGAGTCAGTATGGTATCGGCGCCGTGTTACAGCAAGACGACGACAATGGCTACAGACCCGTAGAGTTCATGTCAGCGAGGATGCCGTCAGAGAAGGTTGTGACCTCGACGTACGAGAGAGAACTCTACGCTCTCAGCTAGGCTCTAGAGCACTGGAAGCATTACCTGCTTGGGAGGCACTTTAAGGTGTATTCAGACCACGAGACACTTAGATGGCTGAAGACACAGGCCAAGATGACACCTAAGTTGATTAGGTGGGCCGCTGAGATAGACCAGTACGACTTTGAGCTCAAGCCAGTTAAGGGCAAGTGCAATGTAGTTGCAGATGCTCTGAGTAGGAGGTCAGACTACTTTGGAGCCATAGTTCACTATCTGGACATAGGGAGTGACCTGCAGAAGAAAGTTAGACAGGCTTATGCGCAGGACCCTATTTACAGTGACCTCCTCAAGAAAGTCGAGGAGGCCCCAGAGGCCGAGCCAGATTACCGCACTATAGAGGGGTTATTATTTGAGAAGACTAATGTAGTAGACCGCCTATGCGTTCCCAACAGTGAGGAGATCCGCAGTCTGATCCTAGGGGAATGCCATGATACATAGGGACACTTCGGTTGGCAAAAGACTTTGGCCAACCTCATGCACGCGTACACATGGCCAGGAATGAAAAACGACTGCGTAGAGTATGTCCGCAGTTGTAAAGTTTGTCAAAGGAACAAGACTACTACGCGTGCCCTTCTAGGTCTTCTCAGACCCTTGCCTATTCCAGACCAGCCTGGAGATTCAGTCTCCATTGACTTTATGGATGCCGGTGTCAAGAGTAGGCACGGCAAGAGCCAAGTCATGGTTGTAGTCGATAGATTTAGCAAGTATGCCATTTTTGTTCCTTTGCCTGCAGAGGCGTGTACCGAATTAGTTATTCAGAAGTTTTTCGATTTTTGGGTTAGCGAGCATGGCGTCCTATTGTCTATTGTTAGTGATAGAGACACCCGCTTCACTAGCCAGAACTGGCAGGAACTAATGAGAGTCTATGGGGGCTGTTGATGTGACCTGGCCGCCATCCAGAGGCTACCGGTCGGACCGAGCAGATGAACAAGATCCTGCAGCAAGTTCTGCGCATATACATTAGACCCGATCCAATTAACTGGGACGAGATGTTACCCAAGGTAGCCAGTGCATACAATAACAATGTACATTTGTCCACCTGTCGCACTCCCAACGAGTTGCACAAGTCCTTTAGACCACGTAGACCGTTTGAGGGACTCAACGGGGATCAGATTCACAGGCTACCGCCCGATACCAGGGAGTTCTCGATACAGCACGAGAAAGAGAGCCACTCAGGAAGGCCCAACACCAGATGATAGAACAGACTAATAAGCACCGTCGCCCATCGCAGTTTCAGGTAGGCGACCTGGTCTGGGTCATGTCTAAAGAGTTTGCGCCTGAGGAGAACATCGCGCAAAAGTTATTGCCCGCTTATAGAGGACCGTGTCCAGTCCTAGAAGTCACGGGTGGAGAGGATGGGTCGTCCTACACAGTAGAGATACCAGCACACCTCCATACCTACCTTGTGTTTCACGCATCAAAGTTGCTGCCGTGTGTCGCAAGTCAACAGTTTCCATCCACACGGTCCATGATCCCTCCAGACATGGACAGAAGATATGACATTGACGGCATTGTAGGTGAAGATGTGTTCAGAACAGGAGGTAGAGGTCGTCCGCAGAAGCAATATAAGGTCCGGTTTGCATATCGGGAACCGGAGGATGACCGCTGGTTCACTAGAGCAGAACTTCTAGAGACAGCTCCCGATATAGTTAGAGCGTACGAGAGAGATCAGAAAGCTTAAGGTCCTGCCTTGGACTGAATTATTCTCGGAGGACCTCGAACTTAGGCCGGTGGGAGTGAAACGGTATTCACCAGTTCGCATAGCTGATGCAGATCCCAGGGCTCAATCCCTAGTCCACACCTTACCTGTGTACAGTACCTGTGTCGACCTCTAGAGTTGAACCCGTGACCTGTGTATTTGTAACAGTTGGTAGGTTGTCGTAGGGTCCATAGGTAGCAGGGGTTCGATATGTAGACCTGTCGAATAGGAGTCTCAGTGAGGTCTAGAAGTCGTAGCTGTAGCTTTCTCGACGAGTCAAGGTCGTAGCTGCTAAAGTCCAGAAAGGTCAAGGTCGTAGCTGCTAGAGTACCGAAAGGCCAAGTCTACGGCCTTTCGGAAGGTCCGAGTAGTGGCCTTTCGGAGTTTCCCATGTTTAGGCTGAGGCAAATGGGCAAGTGGTGAGGCAAGTGGTGTAGTCCACCCGTGCTGAGTCAGCAGTCCCAGTCCTAGGCAGTCCTGGTCCAGTCAAGCAAGTACCGCATGGGACTGTGTGCACTACGAGCATGGGAAAGGGCCAGACCAACGAGCTGCAGAAGTATAAATCTAGAGGCAGCGCCCAGTCATTCATTCATTCCTGCGTCAGCCATGCGGAAGCGATGCCATAAGCGACTTGTGCAAGGAGGTCTGCAGTGAGCCCGAGGCCGAAGTGGGCGAGAGAGGAGGAGTGTAGCCATAGCGATAGGGTAGTAGCGGCCATAGCCGCCATAGCTGTAGATAGAGTTCAGTGAGTGTTTGTGTGTGTACTCAGTATCGCGTGTGGGATATCCAGGGTGATTCTGTGTATGCGAACAGAGAGTTGTGTGGGCGCTGAGTCGCCATAGCCATCGAAGTGAACTTGTATCTGATCTGTGTTCTCGGTGACCATATCTCTGAGTTCTGAGTGGGCGCTTGTCGCCAGTTTGCTGCGCACCTGTTTGCATGCATGAGAAGTGTGAACGAGGGCGAGTCTGATTGCACCCTTTACAGCCAATTCGCAAAAACGGAAATGAGCCCGGATTTGGGTCCTAGGAGAGCGCAGAAAAAAAATCTTTTTTTTTTTTTTTTTTACACGTCCGGGTGCCTGGCCGGGCAGGAGCGGCCGGGCGTGAGAATCTTCCTAGCTTTTCTCCTTATTTTTTATAATGTAACTCGGAGAAATGAAACACGTCTGTCACAGTCGGAGTGAATGTCTCCGTGGAAAAGGGATACTCCCCGTGGTGAGGGGACAGGAGGGCACCATTTGTAAAATGGACAGGGACAACATGGATGGCCAAGTGCGTTCATTGCCCAAAGAAGGAAAAGAGTTGATGCCAGAGAGCCAAACACAGCTGTCAGAATTCGTCAGTTTCAGGATTTAATGATGTCTAAAAAAATCTAAAAAAAGAAAGGCACATAAGTTGAGAAATCTACCCTTGGGGGGGGGGGGGGGGGGGGTAGGGTAGTTTTCTCGACTTGAAATGGTTTCCC